CAAGCGAGAGGACCTGGGTTTGATTCCCACGCAGGGCAAAACATTAGGCCTGTTTACCCAGAAGGAACCCGGATGTCAGTCGATTGGCGGAATGCTTTCCAACGGGTAATAATCCCTCGAATAAAATAAATAATAACTCTGTCACTCAATCTCCGACTGTCTGTGGGACACTGCTGCTACCACGTTTCTTCCGCAATTTAGACTGATTCACTTCACAGTATATTCTGCAAAGCACTTCAAGACCTCTTGCAGATGTGATAAGGCGCTATAGCAAATGCGAGGATTATTATTATATGTATGCATAAAAAAATCTTTTGTGCTCAGCTCACAACAGCAACCTTAGGAATGAGACATCCAACAACTGCTATAAAGATACAAGTTCTGCTTGCAATTCGAACCAACGTCTTCGGGGTTTTTTTTTTGTTTTTTTTTGGCTCCGTTTGATTTGGAACGTCGAGATTAAGAAACATTCAGATGGAGGTGAAGGTGACGCTCAACAGCAGGACCGACCGCCACAGCCGAAACAATACGGATCCCAAAGGGGAGCCGGAGCGAGCTGTATTGGTACTTCCAAGTATTTTGCAGTCTAGGAACTGTGAGGAGCTTCGGTGAGTAAATATAGGAGTGGTTTTAAGTAGTGTGGTGCGTTGCAGAAGTTTAACCACTTCCTCCACACGGTTCACACGGCAGCGATTGAATTTTTGCCCTTTCCTGCTGCATTCCATTCTCATCTTAAGTGGGCGTTCATGATAATAATAATAATAATAATAATAACCCTTGCACTCGATAAAGCGCTTTTCACGTCTCTTCGAGACCTCTCAAAGCGCTTCACAGAATATACTGTAAAACTAACTGACTGCACATTTGTGGGGAGAAAGGCGGCAGCCAACTGCGCACTGCACTGCCCCGCAAACAGTCGTGGATTGAGTGACCAATTTATTCTTATGATCCTCTTCTTTTTTTATTACCCCCCCAGAAAAGCCCTTACTGGCCAAGTAGCCATTCACGCGTGACAGATATGATGTCCTCCCAGTCACATACCTATCACACGTGAACGGCCAGTTGGCCAATGTACTGAGTAGATGAGGTGTGGCACCACACTGTGCCTTGACTGCAGCACTCCAAGTATCAACCAACACTACAAGTCTCCACTAGCAGTGTGACAGCAAGCATCGTCGGCTCAGCTTTCATTTCTCCTCATGTCCCCTCCTCTCCTGTACCCAGCGGCGCGGCCAAAAGAAAAAAAAAAACATCAAACACACTCACCACATCGCGCTCTACAACTTTCAAAGCACCGAAACGAAAAGGAAGATGGCAAAGCGAGGGAAGAGATTTTTCCAACACTTGGTGCCAAAAAGAAAGGGAAAAAAAGGTTTTACGCTTCGTTTAAAAACAACACACGAAATAAAACACTCCCTCAATTGTCAGGTCTCATTCCTACAAAAAGAAAATTATGGAAAATTGCCAACAGAATTACGTGAAGTGCCAACTTTTCAGTTTCCCCACACCTTAAGCTATGGGGTACAGGGTGTACTCTCGACTTTTCTAGGAAAATACAACAACAACTTGCATTTAAATCGACTGCGAAAACACCGAAAGATCCCGAAAGACTGCGATTGTTCTGGAACTTCAGAACTGGGCCCTCCAGATAAAAGGCGTTTTGATTCAAAAAAAATTTAACAATTATTATTTTGGTCAACAGCGGGGAAGCAAAGTTTCCAAGTGAACAGCTTTGGTTTAATGTATAAATGGAAGCTTTAGCATTCAAAAGCGCGCTTAAATCTTTTTAATACGGAGTTCGTTTGAGCTACAAGCAGCGAGCCTCTCTTGGTGAATGACTGTCGGATGATCATCAGCGCTATGTACTGTACAAGCCTGATGCCATTTCACATGGTGCAATCAAAAAAATACAGACCTCACACCAAGAATCCACACAATCCCCTGACGTGCACATGGACGGCACCACACAGCTTCCAAGTAACTGCAGCCTTGTTCGACTTGGCTGGTTACCCTCCAAATCCATTTAAGACGTCTCGGCCTTGCCTCCCTATTGCGTTTGTATGCTGGGGCCACACCGCCCTGGTTGCTACCTGGCCTGAGATTGGGCAGCTGATATCAGACCAGTTATTGGGATGCAACAATTAATATTCGCGCCCTGACAAGAAGGGGCCAGGGGGCAAGCGACGACACACTGTCCAACGTCCCTGCTGGAGAGGACACCTGTGAATAGCGGGACAACAAGATCATCTGTTGAAACGTACTGAAGCTCACACGTCGATGGTCACTTGGGTCCCAGAAATAACTGGTCGAACTCTACCCCACTAACGAGCAGTAGCGTTAAGAGAATGTTGGTACCAGTCTGTCTTAGCCCCGGTGTATATATAGAGCTCTTCCCTTCAGGTATTTCCAAACTGTAAATTCCTTAAACACAGAAGGCAAGCAAACAACATGGCTCAAAGGTCAGCGAGCATCACTTTTCACCAGTTGCCATGGGTTGTACGAAAACACTCAAGCCTTCAAATAGATGGTGAAATGAAGGGAGAGAAGGGTGGTGTTTCTCTTTCACGTCCATCCTTCTCACTCTCTCTTTTTTTTGGGTGGGGGGGGGGGGGGGTGGGGAAGGGGTAAGAAAGGAGTCTTTCAAGTTGAACCAATCATTACCTCAACGTGACTTAACCTACATGATGATCAGCTCGTTGAAAACACTGAAAGATCCTGAAAGATGTGGACGATCTGGAACTTCAGATTTATCTACAGATAAAGGCACCTGATTCGGCATTTAACAATTATTATTTTGGTCAACAGCGGGGAGCAACGTTTCCAAGTGAATAGCTTTGGGTTAATACCCAAATGGAAGCTTTAACATTCTCCGCTCCAATGAAACCATAAATTCCTGGCGATTTGATAGGCAATGTGGGAGTTTCACCGCGTACAACCCCTCCCCCTCCGACCCCCGTCAAAAGGGCAAAAAAAAAAAACTTATCAGGGTGTGGTTATGAAGACGTACAGACTAGGTGTTCGCAAGACGGAATGGCATGTGGTGGGGGTGGTGGGGGTGGTTTCCATTAATAAAACGTATAGCAAAGGTTAGCTCATGATGTCACCTCGCCCGCTTTGTCGACCACTCCAGATACCCCTCCCTTCCACCACGCTTTGCTGAATCACATTACAGAAAATAAGGCTGATCGCTAATTTTATTCCCTTACAGTAAACCACAGATTTCCCTTCTTGCCCTCGCACTTTAAAAATGTGCTTTAAACCAACCGGTAGCGTAACATGTTGAGGCATATTCCGTACATACGGAAAGAGGAGGAGTCGTATAGAGTGTGTCTACTTAATGCACTGTATTCATTAAATGCTGGTAGCAGTCTTACCCATTATCAAATTTCCTATTTAGTACTAATCTGTCACACCTTACACATGTATAGGGAAGAGCCCCTCTCTCCCATACCCCCGCACGCCCCCCAAAAATAAAATTTCCCAGGCAACAAAACACACCTTATTCATCAAAAATGCTGGTAGCAGTTTACCCATTATTAAATCTCCTATTTACCACTTATCTGTCACACCTTACACATGTATTCTAATGTACAGAGAAGAGCCCCCCCCCCCCACCTATCCCCCACCCACCAAAAAAAAGACAAGGAAAGGTTTTTCCACGTACGTTAAGGGCGCTTTATATTTCATATGAATTCTACAATAGGATACTAAACCCCTCACGTCTAAAGCCACAGCATTTCAATACTGCGTTCTTCTCGTGAATTAAAATACTGTCCATTTCACACACTAAACGCCATGTCTTTATACGAAAAAAGGTACCGTACCGGACCGGGAACAACATGCAAGCATTGCAAACCCTCACATTTTGTGCAATGCGTTTATAAATCTTCCAACATGGGAGTGACGAGCAATTCCATTCTCTCGGAATCCCATGCAATCGTGGGGAGTGCGGATCTGTTACCGGAGCCATTTCCAAAGATCGGGGCTTAAAAAAAAAAGCTCCGAAATAATAATAATCCTCGCCTTTCGTACAGCGCTTTTCGCCTCTTCCGAGCCGTCTCAAAGCGCTTCCGCAGAATATACTGTAAAGTGAATTGACTGTGGGGGTTTTTTTGGGGGGGGGGCGAAACGCAAAAATACTATAAAAAAATAAAAATGGCAATAATACGACAATAAAACGACAAAGGAATGGCCAAACGTGTTCTGGCAAAGGCCAGCCTTTAACTTTGGAGCACAGAAGGCAAGATCCACGTTGGGGGTTGGTGGTGGTTGGGGGTGGGGGGGGGAGAGAGAGGGGAAAAAAATCCTTTCTCACGAAAAAAAAGCCTCAATCTTCGATTTAAAATACAATATAATAATCTGGAGATATTATAAAGAAGGTCCAACGAACATAATCTGGTGAACGAACGTGTTTTGACACATGGCTTCGTTTCCACCACATTTAGACCTTACACATTAGAGACATATATATATATACATATGTACACGTATAATAGACACAGATCTATAAATAATTTTGATTGCTTTCCAAATAAAACTAACAAGAATAAATCTTTAAACAAATGTCGGGGAGGGGGAGAGGGAGGGAGGGAGGGAGGAAGGGGGGGGGGGGGAAGAAAGTAGAGACACGACACAGCAAAAGAAAACAGGGGAGGGTGGGGAGGAAGGAGAAAAGAAGGGATTTTTTTTCGTTAAAAGGAATCAAACCAACCTGAAATATCAGCAGCAAATTATGCACAAATATATATATATATTTATATATATATATATAGATATATAAACACAAAGAAGAAACCTTTGTTTGTCGACCCAAAACCGGGTGGGTTTCACACAAGGAATTTGACGAATTTAAATAGATTTTGAGAGAGAGAGAGAGGGAGGGAGAGAGAGAGAGAAAGAGAAAGGAGAGAGAGAGACGCAAAAAGGAGAGAGGGGGGGGGAATAAAGAGAGGGGTGGGAGAGAGAAAGAGAGGGAGAGAGAGAAAAAAAAATCAACATACCATTGCTCTCTATCCTCCAAATCTTCCACAAGGAATAAAGGCATCTCTCTCTCTCACTCCCTCTCTCTCTGTCTCACTCCCTCCCCCTCTCTCTCTCTCACTGTCTCACTCCCTCCCTCTCTCACTCCCTCCCTCTCTCTCTCTCTCTCTCACTGTCTCACTCCCTCCCTCTCTCACTGTCTCACTCCCTCCCCCTCTCTCTCACTGTCTCACTCCCTCTCTCTCTCACTCCCTCCCTCCCTCTCTCTGTGTCTCACTCCCTCCCTCCCTGTGTCTCACTCACTCCCTCTCTCACTGTCTCACTCCCTCCCTCTCTCACACACTGTCTCACTCCCTCCCTCCCCGTGTGCCTGTCGTGTTCTCTCTCTCCCTCTCTCACTCCCTCCCTCCTTCCTCTCCTCTCTCACTCCCTTCCTCCTCTCTCTGTGTCTGTCGTGTTCTCTCTCTCTCCCTCCCTCCCTCCCTCCTCTCTCTGTGTCTCTCTCTCTCTCTGGGAATGTTAACGCTGGGCAGCAGCAGCAGATGGAGAGAAGAGGGAGGGAGAGAGGGAGGGAGTGAGTGAGTGCGCGGAGAGGAGGAGAGACGGCTGTGTGGGGAGGAATGAGAAGGATTTTTTTTATACATATATATAATTAAAAAAAGGATTAAAAATGAGGATTTTTTTTTGCTCTCTTCCACCTTTTTTTTTCCTTCACTCCCTCCTCCTCCTCCTTCTCTTCCTCTTCTTCCTCTTCTTCCTCCTCCTCCTCTTCCTCCTCGTTGGGAGTCAGTCTTGGGAACACGGGGTAGAAATGGCGGATATTCTCTCTCTCTCTCTCTCTTTTTTCTCTTCTCTCTCCACCAACTTTTCTTCCTTCCTTCCTTCCTTTCTTTCCCTCCCCGCCCTTTATCTCTCTCCCTCCCTCCCTCTCTCTCTTTTCTTTCACTCACTCCCTCCTCCCTCCCTCCCTCACGAGAAGCAGGCGTCGCCCATGTTGCTCTCACGCCGCTCGATACGGGAGGCGCTGAGGTGATGCGAGGGTGTGAGAGGAGGGACGGAGGGAGGGAGGGAGGGAGGGAAGGAGGGAGAAGGAAGAGGGAGATAGAGTCCAACCGCCCCCCCCACCACCTCCTTTTCTCTCTCTGCCACACTCTCTCTCTCTCCCTCTCGCCCGCCCTTTTCACGCCTCGCAACCCCGACCGGTTCTTCCCCCCCCACCCGACTTTCCACACAGACACGACGTCGGCGCCTCGAAAGGACACTCCCGTCTTTCGCGAGATATTTCTGAGGGGGGGGGGGGGGGGGCGGGCGGGCGGGCGGCGGCGGCGCGCGCTTTCTCTCTCTCTCTCTCCCTTCCCTCCCTCTCTCGCCGCTGTGTGGCCCCTACGCGTCCACCTACCCTGCTGCACGTTAGCCCCGCCCCTCCCCTCCCTCCCCGCCCCTTCTCCCTTTCCAGACGCGCTCATTGGTCCACCCGGCGCGACCTTCCCGGCGGCCATTGGTTCTGGCGGGACGTCAATCGGGCCTGGAGAACCAGCACGTTCGGTTGAGCTCGCTCGCTCGCTCGCTCGCGCTCGCGCACTCGCCTCACCGGAAGTGGGCGCGCCGAGGCTGCCGGGAGTTGTAGTTCCTCCACCCCCCTTTGTGGCTGAGATTTCTTGCTCCCAATCAATCAATCCATCCATCAATCCATCAATCAATCAATCACAACACCGACTTGCTTTTGTCCAGCGCCCTTCCCGCGCAGGGTAGCGTCTCCGGGCGCCTTAAATCAATCGATACAGCGCCTTATCACGTCTGCGAGACGTCTCAAAGCGATTCGCAGGGATAATACTGCGAAGTGGAGTGACTGTATTTTTGTGGGCGGAATACAGATCCGTCGGTTGATTCCACCGAAAAAAAACAGCACCAACGAAGCGGCGAGGGACCCACCCCAGACTTGAACTTAACCGATGAACGCGTCTCAAAACGGGTCAGGGGAGTGGCGTCGATTTGGAAGCTCTTTTCAAAGAGACACGATGGGCCGAACGGCCTCTTTCTTTGCACTTTGCATTCCTCCACATTAAACTTCATCTGCCACGTGTCTGCCCATTTTACTAGTCTGTCCATGCCCTTTTACAATCTGCTACTATCCTCCTCACCGTTTACTACTTTACCTATCTTAGTATCATCTGCAAACCTTTTATGTTACCCGCTAATCTTTCCTCACACAGTCTCTTTGCCCCCTCTTATTTCCTTTCTCAGTTCTCCTCTTTACTGTCTCTATTCCATTTGATTATCTTCTGTATTTTGGGTGACCTGAAGTTTACCACAAGCCTCCTTTCTCTGTTGTATTTTAATCCCAATTTCCTCAGTCACCCAGGGAGCTATGGGTGCCCTACTTTTCCCGTTGGCGGGAATGTATTCCAGCGCCTCGGGATGGCCTCCTGACATGAAAGGCGCCACGGAATTGTAATTTTGTCTTGTGTTTGTTCACAGTTGCGCTTTTCAGCCAGTACGCCCCGAAACTCTGGAACGCTCTCCCTCGATCCCCACCCCCACTCCCCTTTTTCCAAGTCCCACCTCGAGACCCTCCTCTTCGACCCAAGCCATCGGCCAACCCCCCCCCCCACCCTCTCCGCCACCCCCAACCCCAGCTCGGGTCTGAAACGCTGTTACTACGTCCAGTGCCTCGGGACGTCTTCCCGACGTGAAAGACGCTGTCGCGAATGTCATCTTGTTGTCGTTGTTGTTGTTTGTTGTTGTTGTTGTTTGTTGTCAGAGGGGGAGAGAGGACGCATGCGCAGTGCGGCGAGGCGCAGCGAAGCCGAGTTGCCCAGGATTGAGAGGGAGGGAGGGTCTGCGCAGGCGCGGCGAGGTGAGCGCGAGAGACGGGTGGGGGGGGGGGGGACGCGGGTAAAGAAATCGAGGCTGCGCGCAGGCGCAGTGCACGGAGGGGACCTTGAGCTGCGCGAGCGCGAGGGTCTGCGCAGTCGCGGCGAGTCGAGGGGCGTTGAGGTGGTGGGGCGGGCGTGCGGGTGGGGGGGGGGAGTGGCTCGAGGCTGAGCGCAGGCGCAGTGAGGCGAAGGGCGGGGGGGGGTTGGGGGGAAAGGGAGAGGCTGCGCGCAGGCGCGGTGAGGGGGTGAGGGCGCGAGGGAGGGTCTGCGCAGGCGCGGTGAGGGGTTGAGGGCGCGCGGGAGGGTCTGCGCAGGCGCGGCGAGGGGTTGAGGGCGCGAGGGCGGGTCTGCGCAGGCGCGGTGGAGCGGCGGGCTTGACAGGCTCGAGCGAGAGCGAACGGTTGTCCGTCCGCTTTATCGCTGAGGAGATTTGGCGCCCGGAGGCCCCAGGAGCCAGACAGGCCGCAAGGGTGGGAGTTCACGTTAGATTTACAATGGTGAGTGTGTCGGGAGCATTGTGTGGTCGGGGAGCGCCGGTGGGTGGTGTGGGGTGACGGTCTGTGTGGTGTGGGGGGGGGGGGTTGTCAGGTAGACAGCAAGGCCTCAACTGTGGGGGGTCAGGGCCACAGCCACAGCTTATAATATTTCTGGCGTTTGAATATGCTGCAATTTGTTATTTGTAGTAGTAGTAGTAGTAGTAATAATAATAATCCTGGCACTTGATGTTGACTCAGGGCCTTATCACGGCTCAAAGACGTCTCAAAGCGCTTCACGGGATATACTGTAAAGTGTAGTGACTGTGTGTGTATATATGTGTGTGTGTATTAACCTTCGGTAAGTTTCCTTGCTACCAATAATTCGGTCACTTCAATCCGCGGCTGTTTGCGGGGATGCTGCCGCGCGCAATCGTCTGCCGCCTTCTCGCCCTCAAACTGTACACGCAGTCACTACGCTTTACACGAAGAGCCGTGGCAAGCGCTATATCAAATGCAAGGATTATTATTATTATTATTGTATTACTCCACACGCGCACGCGCGCGCGCAGGGCTCTGTTTACCTTGCGGCGAGTAGGAATCCGGTTGTCAAGCGATTGACCGATCGCTTTTCCGGGTGCGGAGGGGGTAATAATCCCGTTTTTTTAAAAAATAAGTTGGTCACTCAATCCACGACTGCTCGTGGGACACTGCTGCGCGCAATTGGCTGCCTCAAAATGCACAGTCACTCCACTTCACAATATGTTATGTGAAGCGCTTTGAGACGCCTCAACGATGTGGCAAGATGCTATATCAAAGGCAAGGACTATTATATTATTAAATACTGTTATAGAGAGAGTGAACTGATCATGATCATAATAGTAATAGATCCTTGTAATTGATTTTGTTAATTACTTTATTAAATGGTAAATTAGATTAATCGGGTAATGTTTTAAGTATTACTAAAAAAAATTATTAAAAGAAAATAATAATTTGGTCACTCAATCCATGACTGTCTGCTGGGTACTGCTGTGTGCAATTGGCTGCTGCGTTTCGCCCACAAAATATACAGTCACTACACTTTACAGTGTAACCTGTGAAGCGTTTTGAGACGTCGCAAAGACAAGATAAGGGACTATATCAAATGCAACGATTATTATTATAAGTAAATGACCTTTGCATTGAATGCAACAGCTGCAATATCAGAATACCACAAAGTGCTTCACAGGAGAATTGCTGTCAAGCGCAGTGACTGTATTTTGTGGGAAACTTGACAGCACGGTCCCAGACACTTCCGTGAAGTGAAAGGGCAATTTATCTAAAGGATGTCGACCATAACACCGAGAAAACTCCCTTGTCTTCAGCTGCCTTCCTTTTTGATCGTGCTCATGGTCACCTCCTTCTCCCCTTGGCTCGTTATCGGACTCCGCTGCTGTGAGGTGCAGCGGGACACTACCCTGCGTGAAGGGCACTATATAAATGCTTGTTGTTGTCGTTGTAGTGTTTTTAACATCCACCCAAACAGGCTAACAGGACTTTGGTTTACAGACGCATTTGAATCATGGGTACATTTGACATTTTAGTGCTCCCCTCCCCCAATACTAAATTATGAGCTCATGTATTGGCAAAGGGCATGGAAGCTCATGTATTGACATCCACATCCTTCTGACTCAGAGGTCAGAGTGATCTTAGGAGGCACATCATATGGAGAAATGGATGGTTTAATGTGACCTGCTTTCCATTCAGCCCAATCTAAACAGATGGAAGGCCATGGCCTTGATTCTCAAACTAGTTCCTATGGCGTGTGAGTTAACTCCAGACTGGCTACAAGTCGGACCAAATTGGTAAGACATTGGGAGTCTTGACATCGAGAAAAGCTGGTATTGGAAAGAAAGGGAAATGTTTTGTTGAGGTTAGTGTTTGTTGAGGTTAGTGTTTGTGCAGCAAGCAAAATGAGAGATCTGAGAAAACTCCAGGTTCGGTCTGTGTTCTGAAAGTGTAAGGTTATGCCTTACTCCGCTATTTACAGCCTTGTCACAATTATAGTAATAAATAATCCTTACACTTGGTGTAGCGCTGTTCATGTCGGCAGGGTGTTCTCAAAGAGCTTCAACAAAGCAAAATAATTCCACAATAAATGTTTCTTATCCTTTAAAATGCCCAAACCCAAGTCTTTATGTAAATGCACTCCCAAGTTTGATCCAATAACAGCAACAACTTGCATTTATATAGTGCTCCTCACTTAGGCTAGGGTCCCAGAGCGCCTATAGGTCAGCAACAACAACTTGCATTTACGCCACGTGTCACCCACAAATTATACAGTCAATTCACTTTACAGTATATTCTGTAAAAATGCTACATCAAATGCAAGGATTATTATTATATAGTGCCCTTCAGGCGGGGTAGCATCTCGGAGCATTTGTAGCACTGTACTTTGTCAAAGCACATTTCAAGTGATGGGATCCCATTTCAGGGCTGGTTCTAGGATATTGTTACTTTTCCTGAGGATTTCCTACTTTAAACCACCCTACATTACCAGCGACAATCCTGATTAGAGGTTCAGTCAGCATTGTGTCCAGTGCCCCTGAGTTAGCAGACAGGACTTCCTGACCAGTGCCAACACTTCAATGGAAAAGCTTGAATGAAAAGAAGAACTGACTTAAACTTGTGTTTTTTTAAAATATGCTATTTCATATTTGTGGAGTCCTGTAGCTTAGTGGTTAGAGTATTCGCCTTGCAAGCGAGAAGAAGACCTGGGTTCGATTTCCGGGCGAGGCAAAATGTTGGGCAAGTTTCCTTACGCCATACCCATGCCCCTGTTTACCTAGCAGTAAGTAGGAACCCGGTTGTTAGTCGATTGGCAGATCACTTTTCCAGGGTTAATAATCCCTTCAAAACAAAAATACATTTTAAATAATAATAATTTGGTCACTCAATCCACGACGGCTTGTAAGACCCAGCTGTATGCGATTGGCTGCTGCGTTTGGCCCACTCAATCATTTTACAGTATATTCTGTGAAGCTCTTTGAGACAACTAGAAGCCAACTATATCAAATGCAAGGATTGTTGTACGTTGCAAACCTCTAGTTGGTTTGCAAAGATATGTAGAAAAGTTTTAGCTGTAATTAGATACGATTTATGTGGCAAATTCAAAGGAGCGGTTCAGTTGAAGAAGGCCCTTTGGGCCATTTGAGCTTGTTTTCTCAGAATGCCCACTCTACTGTCTTCCCATTACAGAGTAAAGCTGTTTCTTAAATTAATCTAGTCTCTTAGCTGCCACAGAACTATACTCCAGATCTGAAGGCTGGTGATTAGAGAGGAAACTGGTAGCTAAAATGCTTAATCCATACTGTTAGTGTCCAGGGAAGGGGTCATTTGTATGCCATGCTCAATTGAGGGTGTCTTAGTCAGCGCTTTGTGACTACCTCCCAGATGTGCAAGGTGCTATTTGTGTGAGCTTATCTGAACAGATAAGAGCCCTATGGTTGGCCTCAGGAAACCTCACCCAAGAGTTCCCCCTCCCATTCCCTACCGTTTATTATCTCCCGCACAGAAGCAGTTAAACAAGAGTGACCCATGTATGAACCAGGTGGACTGGTGTAATCTTAAGGGAGTGCTATATAATGGTTTAACAGGGTTTAATGGAAAAACTCACTTTCAGCTGCCTTTAAGTTCTTCTTGTACACAATTCCCCCCCCCTTAAAAAAAACCCACAAAAATCTTGACTAAATAATGATGGATGCACAAGAAGTGCCTTTGTTTTCTGGTCTTGGATTCAGAGGACCGTTTGATACTGTTGACGGTCCGTGTGAGCTTCCAGCCTTCAATTAGCTCCCCAGTGCTCTTCGCCGAACCCTTCCTTGCTTTTTAATAGTTCCCAGACAGTCATCGTTTTATGTATGATGCCTGCCAGCCCACACCCTTCAGATAAAAAGGGGGTGGTACCTAGTGAATGACAAAGACAGCTTTTTAAAAGACGTGGTATCCCTTTCACCAGAAGGTGTTGCACAGTATTGGATTATCAGCAAATGTGCACTTTGTGCGAGGGGTGAGGACCTGGGCAATTGGAAGGATGATAGTACTCTGAGACACCACCCTACATGAAGGGCTCTGCATAAATGTTACTTGCTGCTACTGCAGGTAATAATAATAATAAACCTTGCATTTGATATAGCACCTTATCACAACTTTGAGACGTCTCAAAGCGCTTTACAGAATATACTGCAAAGTGAATTGGCCGTATATTTTGTGAGCAAAATGCGATAGCCAATTGTGTGCAGCAGTGTCCCACAAAATAGTGGTGGATTGGGTGACCAAATTATTATATACATTTTTTTTGAAGGAATTATTATTCCCCGGAAAGCGTTTCCCCGCCAAATCACTAATAACCGGGTTACTACTTACTGCTCAGTAAACAGGCGTGTGGAGTAAGGAAGACCAACGTTTTGCCCTGCCCAGGAATCAAACCCAGGTCCTCCCGCTTGTGAGGCAAATTCTCTGACCACTATGCTACAAGACTCCGCCGACAGTACCTAGTGCATGCTTCCACTCCAGACTGGGTGTGTGCTTTTCAACTTCGGGGCGAAAAAAGATATTGAAAGCTGGCTTTTGGGTGAGGAAGAGAGTTTGGGTGTAGCCCTGTGCAATCGCTAGCCCCTCTCTCAGGAAATGATTTCAAAGAGCTCCTCTATCATTATGTGGAGAGCAGGGTCAAGGGTGGGCTGAAACTTAGCCGTCTGGTATAGTAAGAGCATATGAGGACAGCTGAGCCTGACCACTGTCCACCATTAGTAGTAAAGCTGATGTGTATGTAACTCTATCCAGCTCGCAAAGTGCTTGTGAGTGCCCGACCGTGTGCCGAGCGCAGTGACTGATTTCCAGCTTCTTGGAGCTCAGTGGTTAAAGCACTCGCCTCGCAAGCGAGAGGATCTGGGGTGGATTCCTGAGTGCAGCGAAATCTTAGGCAAGTTTCCTTACTCCACACACCTGTTTACCCAGCAGGTAAGTAGGACTTCCAGATAAACTGTTTATCTCGCAGAAGCAGGAATCCAGTTGTTAGTCGATTGTCGGATCTCCCCCCTCAAAAATAATAATTTGGTCACTCGATCCACGGCTGATTGTGGGGACGCTGCTGTGCGCAATTGGCTGCCGCGTTTTGCCCACAAAACACAGTCAATTCACTTTACAGTATATTCTGTGAAGCGCTTTGAGACGTCTCAACGAAGTGATAAGGCGCTGTATCAAAGGCAAGAATTATTATTCTTGTTATGTTAGGGCACAGATCTCCCTTCTTGGCTGTACCTAATGGTGCTGATGACTTCTGATTAGATACGCGAGCCACCTTGTCACCCAAACCATTTGTTTCCCTTCCATCTCCTTTCCTACCCACTCCAAGCTCTGCGTCACGCACATTGCCTGATTGTACAAAGTGAGCAGGAACCCATCAGCTTCTTTGCTTTAAGCGGCTGCCTTGGCAACAGACAGCACAAGGACCTTGGCTGCGGTTGGGTGGGGGTTGGTGGGGGGGGGGGGGGGGAGAGGTGGCCTTAAAGGTTGCTGTGGCAAACGCGAACCACGTACTTGAAACAGTGAAGGAGCTGGCGAAGCTGTGAGTCGGGTAAGTGGCCGAGTGTGCCTCACCAAGGACAAATTTGCAGCCTGAAAGAATCAGTTTTATTCCACGTCTGTGCAAAGATCAGCATTCCAATCCTCCCAGTTCTCACATCCATTCCTTTTACCTTTGACCTGCCGCATTTCCTGTTATGTCCTGAACAGAGTTTAGGCAGCCTTTCGCCCTGGCTGATCTTATCCTCCTCCAGACAGCACACCAGCCACAGGAACCGGCTGGCTGGAAGAAAGCGCATTCATTTTAAATGATCATAGACGTGCGGTCTTGCCTATTGACACACAACCGGCTCCCTGACTCCACGTCCAAGCACTCTGGGGCGTACCCTGTGTGAGGGGCGCTATATAAATGCAAGTTGTGATGCAAGAATCCTTACGTTTGGTGGGTTAAAGTGTTAAGGCTGTACTCCGCCCTGGGCACACTGATCCCAAGAATCAGATCCAAAGGACATTGTGTGTTTAATAATAATAATAATAATAATCCTTGCATTTGATATAGCGCTTAATCACGTCTATGAGACGTCTCAAAATGCTCCTGTAAAGTGGATTAACTGTATATTTTTGGGGTGAAAGGTGGCAGCCGTGCAGCAGTGTCCCATAAATTTGGATTGAATGACCAAATTATATTTATTTGAAGGGATTATTATCCCCGGAAAAGGGACTAACAACCAGGCTCCTACTTACTGCTCGGTAAACAGAGGCCTGTGGAGTAACAAAACTTGCCGAAGGTTTCGCCCTGCCCATGGAAGGGGAACCCAGTTCCTCTTGCTTGTGAGGCGAGTGCTCTAACCACTACGCGACAGGACTCCACGTTGGGACTTGAGCTCCTAGTCCAGGATGGTTCCAGTGTAGTGCTGGCAATGCTGCATTGTCAGAGGTGTGGTCCTTCAGATGAAAGATTAAACCCGGATCCGTCTGCCTGTTCGGGTGGACGTTGAAGATCCCATGACACTACCTGAAAAGAGAAAGGGCGTTTCTCCTGATGTCCTGGCCAAAAATCCTCCAGATTCTTTCAGTTTGGTGCCTGTGAACCAGGTTGATGTCAGTATTTCAAAGGAAAGTGGAGTATTCCCTCTAGAATACCTGTCTTATAGCCTTATATTCCCCTCCTCTTCCAAATCATCTCTCAAACTCCCCCCCCCCAAAATCAGATTAATTAGCTCCTTAGCTCGGGACAGTGTAGGTCAAACTGGCACTTATTAGCTCGCACATTTGACTCTATAACAGTCGCTTGATTTCTAGTGAATCCAATTTTCTGAAGGGATTTGAGACGTTTCTTTTACTGCTTGAATTGTTTCACACAAAGGGTAGTGGAAATCTGGAACTCTCTCCCTCCTCTGAAAGGCTGGGGATTATGGCTGAGTCCATTCAAATCTTCAAGACTAAGGTGGGTGGATGTTTGTTAGGTCAGGGTATCGAGGCATAGGGGGCAAGGGCAGGTAATCGGAGTTGAGCTACAGATCAGCCGTGATCCAATAGAATGACGGAACAGGCTCGAGGGGCTGAATGACCTCCTCCTGCTGCTATGTTCCTAATGGAAGCCGATGAACATAGGAAGATTGCAGTGAAGGCTTTGCTGGCCTGGCAGTTGCTCTCGGCGCTCCAATATGTTATCCTGCAAAAAGGGAGTGTTATGTAAATACAAATTGTTGTTGTGGTAGTGCTTCCTCGTTGGGACGTCCTTCTTGACGTGAAAGGCGCTATACAAATGTAATTTGTAGTTGTATTGTTTCTCAGATGGACCGTACCTAGTAATACTTATGCTCTTATCATGGGATACAGTATAAAGTTTGGGACATGACATGTACATGCGACTGCCTGGATGTAGAAGGCGAACTACATAGACCATTTGGTCTTCTTTGGTCTAGCAATTCTTAGGTTCTTAGGTTTGTTAGACAGTGAAGTGATTCCTTTCCTTTTTTTGTTGTCCTTTCTCAGATTCGTTTCATCCTGATTCAGAACCGGGCTGGGAAAACCCGCCTGGCCAAGTGGTATATGCAGTTCGATGACGATGAGAAACAGAAGCTCATCGAGGAGGTGCACGCTGTGGTGACTGTGCGAGACGCCAAACACACTAACTTCGTGGAGGTGAGGCTTAGCTGCAGCTTTTTGCAGTGCTTCGTAGGTCTCAGCTGTATTTTCTCACCTCCGGTTCAGACGAAGAGCACAGAAGGAGACTGTTTAGTCCATTTGCCTGTGTCACTGTTATCTCTGTGTTTTCTAAGTCGCCCTTAATCCTGACCTTTGGGTGAGACGTTACACCGGGGTTCGATGTGTGTTTGTTTCTCTCTCCTCCACTCTCTCACTGCTGCATGCACATCAAGGGAAGAGATTCTCTGTCTCCACCCTCTATCCCATTTCCCAGTCTGTTAACCCACACCTTGAGAAATGTATTGTGTCTGCATGTTTTTGTGTACCTCTCACTCTTATCCCACATAAAACTCTGCAGTACGGAAGGAAGGGTTCGGCCCAGTGCCAGTGCCCGTTTAGTCCCATTTCCTGCTTTTTAGATTTTTTTTATTCAAATATTCCTTTTAAAATCTTTAATGGAATCCGCTCCTACCAGCGTTTCGAGTAATAATAATACTTGCATTTAATAGAGCGTCTTATCATGTCGTTGAGACTTCTCAAATTTCCTCACAGAATACAGTGTAAAGTGATTGTATATTGTGGGCAAAAAAACTGCAGCCAAATTCACACAGCAGTGTCCCACAAACAGTCATGGATTGAGAGACCAAATTATTATTATGAGTATTATTAATATTCACGTTATGGTATTATGAATATTTATAGTAACCCCTTTCTTGCTTCTTTCAAGTCCCGTCTAACGATCTTCCTCTCCGACCGTGCTTTTGACCACCCTCCCACCCCAGTCTGCCTGCTCTCCACCCCTCCTGACCCCAACTGCCAGCTCGGGTCAAAAATAACCCTGACTATCCGGCATCCTGGGATGTCTTTCCGACGTGAAGGAAGCTATACAAGTATGATTTGTTGACGTTGTTGTATTCCATGTCCTAATCACCTTCTGTGTGTGTGTGTTGTTTTTGATGCTGATCTTAAGTCAGTGTTTACCACACGGCAGCCTCACCAAGCAGGACATCTTTGGAAGATCTTTAAACCTATGTGAGCAATCACTGCGTGCTAGCAAGTGACAGTTGTTAAGCTGTTCGATTTGTCTACTTGCCACGCTCTGCTCTGCTGCTCACGGCTTCAACTCTTGACCCAGAGTTTTTTTTTCCTCCCCCATTTCTCTCCTCTTTCACACACATTATCCTTCGGCCGCTGGACAGAACGTGCGACTGGCATTAACATATGACTGGATGAAGGGGTGGGGGGAGGGCGGGGAGGGGGGAATGAATAGAGTGTAACGCGGAGTGAACTCAATGCTAGCCAGGCACTTGGCACCATCTGAATGACTATTAATGGCTGACAATAAACAAAAAAAAGTCCCTTAATGATATTCAGAACTCCAAAAGCTGATTCAGCAAAACACAGACTGCTCCATATTGGGATAAATCATTCCTAGGACCAGGGCCAGGGGGTTGGGGGGAAGGACACGGCCTTGTGTGAATGTCACACGTTGAAAGATTTTGCATTATGTTGCTGCCTTGAAACAGGATCAGACGTGGTGGGTGGGGGAAAGGCCCATTTGCTTCGTTCCCCCGGAATTAAAACTTCCATTCAGAGTGAGCTTGGGTTCTGTAACCTGTGTTCCTCTAATACTCTCCTCTCTTCGCCCACCTCCCAAACTAAACCTTCCATAAGAGCCAACTCATTCCCAGATTATTTCTCCTCCACACTCTCCTGGCTCCCATTTCCCCCAAAGCATTGATTCACTTTGAGATCCTGAACTTTAAATTCCATAACCATCTATCTTCCTCTTGATTGCGCACTCACCTCGCAAACGAGAGGACCCGGGCAGGAAAAAAACCTTAGATACGTTTCCTTACTCCATATGCCTCTGATAACCGCTTGGCGGGTCGCTTTACATGGGTAATAATTCCTTGCGCCATTGGCGGGAGCGTTTCGGTCACAGAAGAAATATACAGTATATTCTGAGAAGCGTTTTGAGACATCTCGAAGATGTGATAAGGCTCTATATTAAATGCAAGAATTATTATTATCCCGTGAGGAGTTTTGAGACAGCGTGACAAGGTGCTGTGTGAAATGTAAGGATTATCATGATGTTGTTATTATTTTTACGATGTTATCATTCTCTCCGCAGTTCCGAAACTTCAAAATAATTTACCGGCGTTATGCTGGTCTGTATTTCTGCATCTGCGTGGACGTCAATGACAATAACCTGGTGTACCTGGAGGCCATTCACAACTTTGTGGAGGTGAGGGAGAACTCGACGGGAGTGAGCTACTGATGTGTTTCACCCACAAAACAGACAGTTATTTCACTTTGATGGGGTGTCAAAGCTGGAGAAGCTTGCAGAGGTTGGTGGGAAGGACCGAGGGCATGTAGGGATTTGTAGGTGACCGGGAACATCTGCAAATCGCAGTGATGGGAACGTAGGAACAGAAGTAAACCATTCAGACCCTCAAGCCTGATCCTCCATTCTATTAGATGGTGACTGATCTGTACTTCAACTCCATTTACCCGACTTTGCCCATATCCCTTGATACCCCAACCAAACCAAAGCGGTCGCAAGTGGAGCCTGGTGAGCGATGGGCACGTGTAAGAATATCAACAACAACAACGTGCATTTATATAGCGTCGCGGTGTGCGAATATCACCTTATAATGAATTTTAAAAAAATCTGCTCAATGTTACATATTAAGGTGATTGATTGTCTCGAGTGTAAGACAGTGAGGGAATCTGAAACTCCCAGGGCTGCCACGGCACACCAAAAACAACAAGGCTGGGCATTGTGCGTGAACTTGGGTTGAAGTGAAGCACACCTTCTTCGAGGCTGCCTGCCAGGGTTTCATAGCTCGTCCCACTTAGGAGAAACTCGTTTTTGAAAGGGAACCTTATCGTGGCCAAAGACAAGTTGGTGACAAGTGGAACAATCCCTCCTTCCCAAAAACAGTGTGGTCACTCAATCCGCGATTGTTTATGGGACACTGCTGTGCGCAGTTGGCTGCTGAGTTTCACTCACAAAATACAGTGAAACCACTTTACAGTGTGAAGTGCTTTGAGACAATGTGATAAGGAGCTATATCAAATCCAGGTGTTATTATTATTATTAATCAGCACGCCACATCTTAATATACCGAGCCCTCCTCCTACAGCCCAGCCTAAGCATGCGTGCGTGTGAATATATTTACCTTGCAAATCGCTTCACAGAATATGGATTGAGTGTGTATTTTGTGGGTGAAACGGGGCCGCCAATTGTGCACAGTAGTGTCCCACAAACAGTCACGGGTTATGGGTTGAGTGACCAAAATTGAGTGAAGAAGCTACGAGGAGTGCTTGAATACGGTGACCGTGAATTATGACGTTGACGTCTGTTTCTTCTCGCCCGGCAGGTTTTGAATGAATATTTCCATAACGTCTGTGAACTAGATCTTGTCTTCAACTTCTACAAGGTGGGTTTCCCGCGCTTGTTGCTTTCTGCTGTTGTAGTTAATTTTCCTTTAACCCTTCTTTGCTCCTGGTCTGACCGGCCCCAAGCACGGACTGCTTTGATCATCAGCTCGCTGTGAACGTCCTTTGCCCTTCCTGGTGCTCTAACCGCTAAGCTACAGGGTTCCTACTTACTGCTCGGTAAACGGTATTTTTTTCCGCTGTAGTGACCTGCCTGCGTCTCTCCTCCCCACAGGTGTACACGGTGGTGGATGAGATGTTCCTCGCCGGGGAGATCAGGGAGACCAGTCAGACCAAGGTCCTCAAACAGCTCCTGATGCTCCAGTCACTGGAATAAAATCCTCGTCCCGGCAACTTGAGAGGGAGTCTTCGCAACCGCTCTCAAACTACATTGGTGCAATTGTATACATGTGTGTGTGTGTGTGTTAGTGTGTGTGCGCCGGCATGCACGTGTGTGTCTGTGTGCGAGCGAGTGTTCGTGCCCGTGTCTGGGCGACAAAACAAGCGCGACCTGTATAGAGAGAGAGAGAGAGAAAACCGTGAATGTCAAAATATAGATACAAGAGGAGGGTTTTCGCTGTTCAACCACTCTCCCTCCCTCCAAAGGCTCCTTCATCTCTGAGTTTGTCTGTCTGCCTGTGAGCGAGCGGCCTCGAAACTCCGGCTGTCCGGCTACTGATTGACCAATGGGCCAGGTCAACACTAAACCCTCTCTACCCAGCTTCCTCTTTCCCTTTCTCTAACAGTTCACCCCCCCCCCCCCCCCCCCGAGCTGAAGAGCGCTCTGGGACGCTATCCTGCATGAGGGGGGCACTATATAAATGCAAGTTGTTGCTGCTGAGAGCAACTTCCTCAGATTAACCAAGGTTGACGTGGGGACTCGGTTTCTCTCTCTGGCTCTGTCCTCTCTCGCTCTCTCTCTCTCTCTCTCACGCTCGGTTCTTGATCCCCCAGGTTTGTGACCAGGCAACAGAGAGGAGCGATCCAGTTTGTGCAATTGCCACCTCCCCTCGCTCAGCCAATGGTGACACTGTTTTAGCTTGGGGAATCCTGTACAGTTAGCATTAGATGTTGGGGGGGGAGGGGGTTGTACTTCGATGAGGGTAGGCGAGGGGAAGGTGGGTGTTTTTAACCTGAATAATGTGAATACAGTGATTCCTTTCTGGGACCAATAATAAACACAGTGTTTCAAGATCCTCCTCGTCAACCGCGCCTTCGGGCACCCTCCTACCCCCTACCCTCCAACCCTCCTGATCCCAACCACCAGCTCGGGTGCGGATCCCTGACAGTCCAGCACCTTGGGCCGTCGTCCTCATGTGAAAGGCGCTGTGTAAATGTGATTTGTTGCTTACTGACCAATAAATCTCCAGTCACACGTAGCCAGCCCTCCGGGCCTCCCGTCGACGGGAGAGGTTTATTTTTTATATAATTTTATCTTCACGCAAATGCGTCTCGAGCGAGTTAAGCGATTCGTCCCCGGGTAGTGAATGCAGCAGCCCGCAGATAGAGAGATCAACACAACTTGCCTGTCAGCACAGCTTTGTGTTCAGCTGTAACCATTCGGTGTGTGTCCGTCAGGCACAGGAAGGAGGATTAATAATAATAATAAGCACGCCTAATAATAATCCCTCAAGAAAAAAAATAATACATTGGTCACTTCAACCCACGACTGTTTGTGGGGACGCTGCTGTGCGCAATTGGCTGCCGCGTTTCGCCCACAAATATACGGTCAACTCACTTTACAGTATATTCTGTGAAGCGCTTTGAGACGTCGGGAAGACCTCGAAAAGCGCTATATCAAATGCAAGCATTATTATTATTATTATTATTAGGGACCTTCAGCTGCAGTAACCCATCCAGGGAAAGTCCAAGTCAAAATAGTGACCAAATGTTCAACCTTGTTAGTTTCCCCAACGTATCTTGATACAGTAATAGATTTACTCTGAGCACTGCTGTGGTAAACATTGCTAAGTTTTGTTGCCGATTTTCTTTTTCTCTCTCTCTTGTTTTACCTCCTTTTTCCCCCCCCCCCCCAACCCCCACCTCGCATATCCGAGCATACAGTATTACTCGCGACGGGAAAGTCAGCACAAACTGGGAAGAGAACGGGGTTGGGGGCTGGGTGGGGGGTGGGTGCGTGAGTGGTTCTTTACAGCGAACCTCATTAGCAGGTAACGCGAGGCTTCACAGAAACAAAGCCAACACGTGGCGGGGGGGGAGGCCGAGGTGTCTTGAGTGTTGTACATGATGTGATCAAAACCATAAATAAAGGTTGCACGTGTGTGTGTGTCTTCTGGTGGTGCCCGCAGTTTGTATCGGTTTGGGTTAAACCCGGCTCTTGAGAACCGAGATCGAACGAGCAGGAGACCACGACGACAACAACTTGCATTTTTTGCACAGCTGCCCCTCATGCAGGGCAGCGTCCGAGATCACTTGACAGCGGCCGAGCCGAGCCGGGGGTGGGGGGCGGGGAAGGGAGTGGGGTGACGGTGACCGAGGCACGGTCAAAATGGAAGGTTTTTAGGCGCGACCTGAAGTCGGGGAAGGAAAGGGGCAAGGCAGAGGGATAGAGGGAGAGAGTTCCAGAGTTTCGGGGCGTAATGGCTGACCGCTCGGCCAGCAATGGTGGGACGGAGGGCACAAGGGACATTCAGCAAGGTCAGCATCTCTCTGCTTCGCTGAGTCGGAGAAGCAGAAGAGAACGGGACTCGAGTTAAAAGGTGGTGCAAACCTGGGGGTGTATGATGCTCCAGGTGGAGTGTTCAGATGATAATAATAATCCTTGCATTTGATGTAGTGCCTTATTGTGTCGTTCAGACCTTTCGTGCGCTTCACAGAGTGTATCGCACAGTATAATCAGTTATGCTTCAGTTCTCAGGAGAGGCCGGAGAAGCTGGGCTTATTCTTGCGAGCAGAGAAAGTTCAGAGGAAAGTCGATAGACGTTTTCAGAATTATGAGGGGATTCGATAGGGTGAACAAGGAGAAACCATTTCCACCGGCGGGTGGGTTCGGTCACCCGAGGGCAACGGTTTAAAATAGTTATTAGGAGAAACGGGAGGTGAGGAGAAATATTTTCAGCGAGTTGTTGGGATCTGGAATCACTGCCTAAAAGGCCGGTGGAAGCCAATTCGCTAACAACGTTTAAGAGAGAAGTAGATCACTATTTAGGGGGGACAAGTTTGCAGGGCTATGGGGACAGAGTGGGGGAGTGGGGTTGATCGGGGCTACGGGGACAGTGGGGGAGTGGGGTTGATCAGGGCTATGGGGACAGAGTGGGGTTGATCAGGGCTATGGGGAAAGCAGGGGAGTGGGATTGACTTGGATAGTTCTTTTCAAAGAGCCGGCACAGACACGATGGACCGAATGGCCTCCTTCTGTGCCGCATAATTCTATGATTCTGTGAAGTAAATTGACTTATTTTGTAGGCGAAACCCGGCGGCCAATTGCGCACAGCGGCGTCCCACAAACAGTGGTGGATCGAGCGACCAATTTGATTCATCTTCTGAAGGGCTTATTCCCTCTTCGAAAGCGGTCCGTCAGTTGACTTAACAACCGGGTTCCAACTTGGGTAAGCAGGCGTGTAAGAGTAAAGGAACTTGCCTGAGGTTTAGCGAGCGGTGAAATTCTGTGACTCCGCATGTCTACACACACACACACACACACACTCCCAAAAATAACCCCCAACTTTGAGACACTTGACACCAGTTTTAAACTCGACTCCTGCCCGGTGCCTGGGGACGTCGTCCTGACGTGAAAGGGGCTTTACAGATATAATTTCGCATTGTCTCGAGAGATCGGTTTTTTTTTTTGATTGAAAACACGCGCGCGCGGCGCGCTGTTGTTTACGTGTCACTTAGCGTTATCCGGTAAAACGTGGTGAGCGTTTTATCCCCCCCCCCGAACCCCCTCCAAAAAAAAAAAAGCAGTCGTAGACGTGCAAAAGGAACGCAGGAAACGGACTGCGGTCGCAGAATGCTTTGGAGATGAGGGATTCCAGCAATGACTTCAGTTGGAAGCAAACCTTTGCCTCTCTGTGTGTGTGTGTGTGTGTGCGTATAGGTGTGCGCGTACGGCGTACAGCGTGCTTTAAACTAAATATTATTCTGTCAGGACCCCAGTTGTTTTAATGCTCCACGGAGAACGCTGTCACTGAATTCACTGTGCTTTGATTGGCGAAACGCGGCCGCCAATTAATTGCGCACAGCGGTGTCCCACAAACAGTCGCGGATTTAAGTGACCAAATCGTCGTTATTTTTTTTCCGAACGATTGTTTTTCGGCACGGGTTCACCTTCTCGACAGAGAGAAAGAAAATAGTTCCCGACCCTCTCCCACCCTCCGCCCATCGGGATTTGGGGTTGTCGCTCGGTTTAAATGCGGTTTCTTCTTTTTTTTAACAAAAAAGGTAGTTTTTATCCGATTTCACCAAACGGCACAAAGCGAGCGCCTCTCTCTCTCTCTCTCTCTCTCTCTCTCTCTCTCGCTGCTTTAAAATTGCCGGTAACCATGGAAACCTTCTCCCTCAGCTACCCTGGAGCCCGGCACGGCATGATAATGTTTGCATTCGCATCGTTGTCAGTGACGGAATCTCGGCCAGCCCCGGCGAACTCTCCCCCCCCCCCCCCCCCCCACCACCCCACCCACCCACCGACGGGTTCGATTCCCGGGGCGAAATGCTGGGCATGCGAACGCGGCAGCCAATCGCGCACAGCAGTGCCCCCACGCGCAGTCGTGGATTGAAGTGACCGAATTACTATTAATTTTATCATTTTTATTCTTTTGAAGGGATTGCTATTCCCCCCTCCGGAAAAGCGATCCGCCAGTCGACTAACACGCGGGTTCCTATTTACCGGCGAGGCGCGTGTGCGCGGAATAAGGAAAGTTGCCCAATGTTTCGCCCCGCCTGGGAATCGAAACCCGGGTCCTCTCGCTTGTGAGGTGAGTGCTCTCTGAGGGTAAGCGGAGACATGGGATGGATGAATATTTTGGAGTTTGCTTTGGGTTATGTTTGGGGATTGGAAAGTCTCGGGATAGAACCTTCCCCCGGGCTGTGGAGTGCGTGGATGGGTTGGAAGTGAAGTCCACGGTGGAGATAGCTCAGCGCCAAACTGATTAAATAATCCTTGATAAGACAAAAATGTTACTAGTGAATCATGCGTGGGTGGGCTTTCAGCTGGAGAGGGAATTGGGAGGCGGAGAAGGATTGGACTTGACCATGATGTTCCTTTCCTTTCCTTTCCCTCCCCCCCCCCCCAACACACCCAACCCACCACCTCCGCACACACGATCCGATCATCAGCCAACGCCTGATGTCTGTGCACACGTGTGAAGAACAGAGCACTGGTTTTATAACAATAATAATAATTGTTGTATTTGATGTAGCGCCTTATTACGTCTGTGTCATAACACTTCACAGAATATACCGTAAAGTGAATTGACTGTATATTTTATGGGCGAAACGCGACAGCCAAGTGCGCATGGCAGCGTCCCACAGACAGCCGTGGATTGAAGTGACCAATTTATTTATTTTTTTGATCATAATTAGATCAAACAATTTGCTCTTATATTAGATCAGCGCCTTGGGACGTCCTCCCAACGTGAAAGGCGCTCTATAAATGTAAGTTTGTTGTTGTTTTCAGGGCAGATCCTTTGTTCCCCTACTTTTCCCTAAACAACATCTTATAATAACGATATTAATAATCCTTGCATTTGATATTAGCGCCTTATCACGTCATTGAGACGTCTCAAAGTTCTGCACAGGAG